TCCTGAGTAGCTGGGACTGCAGGCGCACACTGCCACACCCGGCTAATATTTTGATTATTTGTAGAGATGAAGTCTCGTTATGTTGCCTAGGCTGGTCTCGAACTCCAATGCTCAAGTGATTTTCCCACCTTGGTCTCTCAAAGTAGTGAGATTACAGGTGTCAGCCACCATACCGCCCAGCCACATGTGGGTATTAATGCCCTGCTCCCTGAGATTCAGATTCCGTGGGTCTGGAGTATGGCCCTGGAATCAGCATCATGGATATGCACTCTAGGTGTTTTCATGCAGGTAGCTCCTGGGCCATTTTGGGGGGACATAGGAGGACTTTTGTGGGTATGGCACATTCCCATTCTTCCTAAAGCCTTTACTTGCTGGGTGACATTTATGAATCTTGCCACCTCACTAAGCCTATTTCTTCATCTCTCTCGTGGGGATGATGACACTCACCTTATGGTGTCGTGGAGGAGAGGATTGCTGGATGTTCAGTACTCACATCTGGGGCAGCAGCTGAAATCTCAGCTCTGAGGCAATGGTTGGGGGGAGTGGGATTGTGCAAAGGCAGTTTGGGAACATTGTGTGAGCTGAGATGACACACCAAAGCTGTGTCAGCAAGGATGAGGGTGGGAGGTTGCAGCCCCAGGGCATGGCATTACTTGCAAGGGGAGCCTTTGCAGCCTGTGTAAGATTTCTGAGCATCAGGATGAGCAAAGGTGCAGACAGAAGGACACTCTTCAGCCTCAGGAGGGACCTGAAGGAGCCTTAAATGTCAGCGTGGTGGTTTGGCCAATAGGGGACACTGACCAATGGAGGGACAGAGGTGGGGGGCTATTTATTTGAGTTAGCGTTTCACTCTGTCATCCAGGCTGGAGTGCAGTGGCATGATCATGGCTCACTGCAGCCTTGACTTGCTGGGCTCAGGTGATCCTTCTGCCTCAGCCTTCCGAGTAACCGGAATTACAGGCATGCGCTACCACGCCCGGCTGATTTTTTGATTTATTGTAGAGATGAGGTCTCACCGCCCAGGCAGGTCTCAAAGCCACGGGCTCAGACAATCCACTCACCTAAGCCTCCCAAAGGCGCGGGATTACAGGCTGAGCCACCGAGCCCGGCTACAATTTTTTTTTTTTTTTGTAGAGACGAACTCTTGCTATGTTTTCCAGGCTGGTCTTGAACTCCTGGATTCAAGCAGTGCTCTTGCCTCGGCCTCCCAAAGTGCTGAGATTTCAGGCGTGAGCCACCATGCCTGACCAAGGGGCATGTATTTCCCAGCATCCACTCTGCATCATTGCAGAATTGGCTGCTGCTATCTGTTAACAACTTCTTCTTTTTGTCCCTTCAGACCCACGGGTGGTAAAGTCTTCCCACAAGTGCTAGAACCTTGGAACTGAGCTATCACTTGACGCTCCCCTGATAGTGGCCCACACCTTTGCAAGAACAGCTATTCCTGATACTTGCAGTAGTTATGTTCTATAACGTCACCGTGAACGCTGCATCAGTGAGTACTAAACCGTGGCTTCCAGGGAAATACAGGGTTAGGTTCCTGCAAGATTCTGGTCATAGTGCTTTTGGCAGCTGATCAAAACATAACCTTATTTTATGTATTTTTATTAAAGACACCTTGTTTATTTATTTAAGAGTTGTGGGGTACATGTGAGGATTTGCTACATAAGTAAGTTGTGTGTAGGTGAGCTTTGGGCTTCTAGCGAGCTTTCTCTTCTCCTGGTAGTGAACGTGGTGCCCAATGGATGGTTGTATGCCCCTTATTCTCCCTCCCTTGATCCCTCCCTCCTTTGGTAGTGTCCAGCATTGTTGTCGTTCCTGTCTTTGTGCTTGTATGCCCAATGTTCAGGGCCCACTTATGAGTGAGAACACGCGGTATTCAGTTTTTTGTTTCTGTGATAGTTCACTTAGAATGATGGTCTCCAGCTGCATCCATGTGGCTGCCAAGGACATGATTTTGTTCTTTATGGCTGCATAATATCCCATCATGGATATGTATCATATTTTCTTTATCCAGTCCCTTTTCAATGGGTACCTGGTTTGGTTCCATGTTTTTGCTTTTGTGAGTAGTGCTACAATGAACATACAAAAGATACCTTATTTAATGCATAGGGTGGATTCATTTACATTTAGTCCACATCCAGCAGCACTAAAACTCATGCCTGAATGAAGCTTCTCTAACATATGGAGTTTTTTCTTTTTTTGAGTTGGAGTCTCACTCTGTCACCCAGACTGGAGTGCAGTGGCCACTCCCGGCCACCGCAGCCTCGACCTGCTGGGCTCCGGCGATCCTTCCACCTCAACCCTCCAAGTAGCTGAAACTACAGGCGTGTGCTACCACACTCGGCTAATTTTTTGATTTATTGTAGAGATGAGGTCTCACCAAGTTGCCCAGGCGGGTCTCGAACCCGCGGGCTCGGGCAATCCACTTACCTCGGCCTTCCATAGTGCTAGGATTACAGGCTGAGCCACCGAGCCCGGACCATGGAGTTTTTTCTAGGGCACATCACAGTCTTCTTGTGCTCAGGGACACTAGACAGCACATCAGAAGGATCCCTGGGGCCATTTTAAACAGTGTTGACTCACTTTGGGAGGCCGAGGCAGGAGGATTGCTTGGGCCCAGGTGTTCAAGACCAGCCCGGTCAACATAGCCAGACTTTGTCTCTACAAAATATCAACACATTGCCTGGGCATGGTGGCACACAACTGTAGTTCCAGCTACTCAGGAGGCTGAGGTAGGAGGATCGCTTGAGGCTTGTGGTGAGCTGTGATGGAGCCACAGCACTCCAGCCTGGTGTCAGAGTGAAACCTCAACTTAAAAAACAAAAACAAATAAACAACAAACAAAAAAACCAATGGAGTGTGCTGTTTCCTGTTGATACCCTGAAGAATAGTTTATGTGGAAGTGTGAGGCCCAGGGAGTTCCTGTGACACCCCCAGTTTACAGGGTCACTCTTGAGATAAGGGAGTTGGCCATGGTGCCTGGTGTTTCTTTTTTTGTTTTTGAGTTGGAGTTTCACTCTGTCGCCCAGACTGGAGTGCAGTGGCCACTCCTGACCACCGCAGCCTCAACCTGCTGGGCTCCGGCGATCCTTCGGCCTCAGCCTTCCAAGTAGCTGGAACTACAGGCGTGCGCTACCATGCCCGCTAATTTTTTATTTTTATTTTTATTTTTATTTTTTTTGAGTTGGAGTCTCACTCTGTCATCCAGACTGGAGTGCAGTGGCCGCTCCCGGCCACTGCAGCCTCGACCTGCTGGGCTCCGGCGATCCTTCCGCCTCAGCCTTCCGAGTAGCCGGAATTACAGGCATGCGCTACCACGCCCGGCTGATTTTTTGATTTATTGTAGAGATGAGGTCTTGCTGCCCAGGCGGGTCTCGAACCTGCGGGCTCAGGCAATTCGCTCACCTCAGCCTCCCAAAGGCACGGGATTACAGGCTGAGCCACCGAGCCCAGCTTAATTTTTTATTTTTATTGTAGAGATGAGGTCTCGCCAAGTTGCCCAGGCGGGTCTCGAAGCCTGGTGTTTCTAAGTTAGCTACAGCTGGTTTGAGACCCACTCTGACTTCTTCCCTACTCTGCAATCCTAGGAAGGCAGGTTTCTTTTTTCTTTTTTTTTTCCTGTGCATTTCCCTGTCCAATGAATGTCATTTATTCAATTCCCACTTGGTTGCTATGGGAACCCATGAAGATCCTGGTCCGTGCTTGCAGTGTAGAGCAAGAGAGGTTTGAATCCTACTTTACCCCTTGCTGGCTGTGTACCCTGGGAAACTGAGGTTACCTTTCTGAGCTGCATTGCCTTCTCTGTAAAATGTTGGTGCTTGTGTCCATATGCCTGGTCAGCTTTGCCAAAAAGACGCCAGCATTCGTGAGGACCATTCTTGACATACCCACTGTCAGCTCCATGAGGGAGGGGCTCATCCTCACTGTATCCCTGGCATAGAGCAGTGTTAGTGGCATAGATCTGTGGCTGTAATGAACACCCTTCTCTATGTATGCCTCACCCTGGGATCTTCCTAGGGAGAGCGGATAATAAGCACAGTTCAGTGTGAGGAGTTCTGTGAAGGCGGGGTGTCCAAGAGGAGAAACAGCTATGACTGGATGGGTGGACGGAGTCAGGGCAGGCTTCCTATAGGTGACCAAACCCAAATGAATGATGTTGGTTGTCCTGAATCAACTTGTGAGCTCCCTGAGGTCAGGGACCACATCAGCTCTGCTCATTGCCGCATTCTCAGTGCCTGGCTCAGAACAGGGCACCGTGTGGGGGTGGGGCAAAGCAGAGCTTGGAGGAATCCTAGAGTCATGAATGAAAATTCCAGCTTTGCTGCCTAATAATTGTGTGACCTCGGGCAAGCCAAACAACCTCAGTGCCTCCATTTCTTCAACTGTAAAACAGAGATGATAATACTAATGGCTCAGGTGCCTTGAGGATAGATAATACTATGCAGCCACCATTCTACAGGCCTCACAACTATGAATTCATTTATTCTTACCCACAGCCTTTTGAAGCGGGTGCCCTCATGCGCCTCATTTGCTCAAGGCTACACAACTTGAAAGTGGGAAGCCAGGGCTGAGGCACGGTGGCTCACGCCTGTAATCCCAGCACTTTGAGAGGTGGAGGCAGGAGGATTGCCTGAGCCCAAGGGTTCGAGACCAGCCTGGACGACTTGGGGAGACCTCATCTCTACAATAAATCAAAAAATTAGCTGGACGTGGTGGTGCACGCCTGTAGTTCCAGCTACTTGGAAGGCTAAGGTGGAAGGATCATCTGAGTCCAGTAGGTCGAGGCTGCGGTGGCCGTGAGCGTGCCACTGCACTCACTCCAGCCTGGGCGACAGAATGAGACTTCTACTCAAAAAAAAAAAAAAAAAAAAGCAGGAAGCTGGGATTTGAATCAAGCAGTCTGGTGCCCAAATCCATTCCGTAAACTTCCAGGATACACTGCCTTTAACGCGTTGGAGTTGGGGGAGGATCTACATACAGGAGGTGCTTATACACGATAAGTATTGTTATTTTTAATGATGGCTCTGCTAGAGAGCATTTGGAGGGCCGGTGAGTTGTGGAGGCAGGAGTCCCGTCGGCGGGGACGTGCACTCCGCGACACCAGCCCGCGCGGGACCAGCCGGCGGGGACAGGGGGCGCTCTCGTCCCTCGGGGGCGGCGCTGGTTTCGCCGCGCTGCGGCGGCGTGCGCGGGTCCCAGTCGCTGACCAGGCGTTGCGCCTGCTCGTAGCACACGTGCGGGTGTCGCTGGCGAAGGCGCAGGCGCACCACGTCGTAGTCGACATCGTGCCCGACCGTCTTGCAGTTGAGGCCCCAGGTGAGGTTCTTGTGCGTGGTGAGCAGCGCGTCCAGGTTCTTTTCCATGTGTGTGATGTGGCGCTGCAGCTTGTCAGTGCCCTGGAGAGGGGGGCGAGGCCGGGCTGGGAGCCCCGGAGCCGCGGCGGAGAGAGGGCGGGCTCACCTGAGCCGCCAGGGGCCTGGGTGTACGCGTGTGTGCGCGCGCGCGCGCGCGGGTAAGGAGCACAGCTGAAGAGGGCTCGGCCTCGGCTGGGGTGGGAATGGGGAACACATGTGGTGGGCCAGGTGTGCTTGGAAAAGAACCCGCGACAGGGCGGGGAAGCCTTGGAGAGTGAGGAGAGGGGGAGCCTGCGATGGGGGAACGCATCTAGGCAAGCTCGGTCGGGAGAAGAAGCCCCCTTAGGGGCCCAATCATGAAGGTGTGTGTAGGGGGCCGGGCAGGGATGGCGGGGACTTATTTGAGCCAGGTGTGGATATTGAAGCTGGGGGCTCTTACTGGGTCCAGGTGTGCTTGAGAAAGAAGCTTCCCAGGGCGGGCTGCGCCTAGAGAGGACCCGGAGGCGCGGAAGAGGGAAGGGGGAGGGGGAAGAACGGGCGTACCTGGGCGAGGCGCGCAGCCTCCGGTAGCTGGGTGCCCACGTGTCTCTGGTACATGCGAACCAGGGGTCTGTCCAGCTTTTCTCCAGTCTCCAGGTGACGTTCCGACAGAGGACCCTGGTGGAGTGCGGTGTGCGGAGCAATGCGGCCAAGCTTACACCCACCGGCCCCTCTGCCCCACTCCGCACACTTCTGGCCCCAACCGCACCTTGATGAGGCCGCGGGTGATGTACATCTCTTGGTTGAATTTCGTGCACCGGTGGATCGTTCCCCGCATCAGTCCTAGCGTCATATTCATTCTTTCCTGGTTGTGAGGGAGCGCAGGGGGATCACGCTGGCTCCCTGTCTGCTCCGTTCGGAGGTTCCACCCTCGCCCGCAGCCGCGCGGATGGCGCCCACCTTCAGCTCCAAGGTCTCACGCATCTTCTGCGCCAGCGAGGCGCACACGCGGTCGCTTATCTGCAGTTGTTGCTCCCGGATGTCTGCCTCGTTCTTTGCCATTTCTACCAAGGCGTCTTTGGACTCGATCAACAACCGCTTGGCTTCATTCAGCGCCGCGGCGCACTCTGCGAACACACGGGAAGCGCGTGGGGCGCCCAGCCCTCTTTTCCCAGGCCCTGGCTTTCTGAGTCCCAGTCTCAGTGCTCAGGTGGTGGCGGGGCCAGGGCAAGAGGGGCTGGGGGAAATTCGAGAGGAGGGGCTGTTAGTTAGAAGTCCCAGGGGCGGGGCGGGGCCCGGGGCGGCTGCTGGGAGGGTGCAGTGTGAGTAGCAGCTTGGGTTTGTTTCCTTGGAAACAGAGCCTGTGAATGACTGCGTGAGTGTGGGGAGGAGAGTGCAGAAGTCGAGCGAGTACGTGGGCTCAGCTCCAGATTGGCCGTCAGCCCTCCCACGTGGTCTAGGGCGAGTCCCCACGGAAGGGGACAGCTAAATGGGCGAGAGTGCACCACTAGTAAAGGGTGTCTGGGTCGGCACCAATGGCACCCACTCTAGTGGACCCTTTGCGTGGGGCCTACCTGGGGTAAAGGTGCCCACAGGGTCTGGAGGCGGCGTTTTCTGACCCTGCGTGCGCGGGGTGGGAACGCGGGAGAGGTCCACCCACGAATGGCGGCCGGCCTGTTCCAGAACCTTGTCCAGTGGCTGGTTCATAAGATCCGCAGCTTGGAGTCGTTCCTTGCAGCAGAAGGCCAGGGTGTCGCGGCAGGAGACCAGAGCCTGGGGGAGGGGAGGACGAGGAGGCAGAGTGGGAGCCAGGAGGTTGAGGGAAGAGGCTGAAAGCGATTTCTCTGCTGGGGGCTTGAGGTTTACAGACCACAAAGAATTTCTGCTTCCAGGTGTGCTTGAGAAAGAAGCTTCCCAGGGCGGGCTGGTAAAGGCTCTTATTGATTAAACAAAAATTAATATATATATTTTTTGAGTCAGGGTCTCTGTCATCCAGGCTGGAGTGCAGTGGCACAATCATGGTTCACTGCAGCCTCCATCTCCTGAACCACATGCGGGCGTCACCATGCCTGGCTAATTTTGTTTTTCTTTTTGTAGAGATGAGGTCTCGCTATGTTGCCCAGGCCGGTCTTGAACTCCTGGGCTCAAGCAATCCCCTGCCTCCACCTCCCCAAGTGCTAGGATTACAGGTGTGAGCCACCACACCCAGCTAAAAATTGTATTTATTTGAGATGTACAACTTGATGTACACCTCAATCAAGCTAATTAACATATCTATCACCTCACCTATTTACCATTTTCTAAAAAAGAATTTTTAAAAAGACACCCCCCCAAAAAACCCCCACCCATATCAATTTATTTGGATGTGAACAGACACAGTTTTAATTGGCCATCATGCACAATGTCACAAATATAGACAACTTTGTCAACAAAAAAGTGATCCTGAGATATTATTTTCCTGAATTATCTGACATTCAAGTGAACCCTCATCATCTGAGACAAGTGGAAGCATAATTGCCTGCTGACTCTTTTTTTCTTTACAGTATTTCTTTTTATGTATTCATTAAAAATTTTTATTTTAAAGATGTGGGGTACAATTCAGGGTTAAGTATACAAATAATCATTGTGTAGGTAAAGTTTGGGCCTCACTTTGGTCCCCATTTCACCTAGTTTGAGATCAGGTACCCTTATTGATGATGTGTGCTCTCCCCCTTCCCTAGCAGTTTCCAACTACTGCCAATTCCTTTCTTATAGTATGATAATTGTTCAGACCCTTGATTCACTTTCCGATACCTGAATATACCTTCCCTGCTCTCAAAGCTAGGTTTGGGGGAAATATCTGTCACACCAGCTCATCCATGTGTTTATCTATAGTGGCTATCAAGAAAACAGTACTGTTCATTGTTCTATTTATTTATGTATTTGAGTTGGAATCTCACGCTACCGTCCAGGATGGAGTGCAGAGGCATGATCATGGCTCACCACAGTCTCCACCTCCTGGGCTCAGGTGATCCTCCTACCTCAACTTCCCAAGTAGCTGGGACTACATAAGCACCACCACCCCTGGCTAATATTTTTGATTATTTTTGTAGAGAAAAGGTCTCACTATGTGGCCCAGACTGGTCTGCAACTCTGGGTCTCAAGCAATCCTCCCATCTCGGCCTCCCAAAGTGCTGGGATTACAGGCGTGAACCACCATGCCCAGCCAAAACTATTCATTATTTTAAATGTGTGATACGCTTGCATATGTATTGGTTCTGAGAAACTGATTTCCTTCCTCTCTTCTTGACTCTTCCCAGTTCTTGTTACAGTTCTTGGAAAGAAACAGTTTCTGAGTCGAAGTTCAGACATCCTCTACCTCCTCACCCTCTGTCCAGAATGTGACTCTTCAGGGTGATATGGGGGAAGCAGTAAGGGCCAGTGACAGCTTCCTGGGCTGAGTGTCAGTTGCTTGGGTTCTGTGCCTGGCTCTGCTCTGGCACCCTGAGAAAGCTCCCATCTCATCCATTCCCCCATCTGTAACATGGAGAGCCAGCACTCCCTGCACCCACCTGTGTTAACCCCTTGCTCCTAAACTGGTGCTTAGTCCACCCCCCACCTCTAGCCTTGGGGTCTCCCTTCCTCTGCTCTGATCAAAATCGGGAGCCCTCTGCTGTTCTCAGAGTCCCTCCTCCCATGTTCTATCTCATCTGGACACACCCCAGATGCAGTGCTACTTCCTCTACTATAAAATGAAGCACATTGCTTTCCTTTGATATCTGCAATTATTTGCAAGTTATATCAGAAGAAGTCTTTTTGCATATATATATACACCCATACACTCCCTTCATCAAAATATAGGATATTTCCATTATGCCATAAATTTTCTCTGTGCACCTTCCTCCCCAGTAAGCTGATTTGGAGATTCATTGTGCCAGAGTGATTGATTGAGACAGGGTCTTGCTCTGTCACCCAGGCTGGAGTGCAGTGGTGTGATCATAGCTCACTGCAACCTCAGTCTCCTGAGCTCAATTGAGCCTCCTGCCTCAGCCTCCTAAGTAGCTTGGACTACAGGCATGTGCCACCATGCCCAGATAATTTTTATGTTGCCCAGGCTGGTCTTGAACTCTTAACTACAAGCAATCCTCCGACCTCAGCCTCCCAAATCGCTGGGATTACAGGCAGGGGCCACTGTGCCTCTTCTTTAAGAGGCTTTGAACCACAGCCTGTTTTCATAAGTACAATTTTATTAGAACACAGCCATGCCCACTCACATATGTATGGTCTCTGGCTGTTTTCACATCACACTGGCCAAGTTGAGTAGTTTTGACAGAGACTGCAAAGCACACAAGGCTGAAAGTATATTTGCTATCTGACCTTTGAAGAAAAAGCTGGCTGAATCTAGAACTTCATATAAATGGAATCATACAATGTGTATTCATGACCAGCTTCTTTCTCTGAATGTAATTATCTTTGGGATTTATCTACTTGGTTAAAAATTGGATTTAGAGAGTCTTTTGTTCATAAATTCAAATATCCATCGAGCCCCTACTGTATGTCAGGCAATGTGCCACGTGGTAGGGGACGCAGTGGTCTCCACAACAGATCTGGTTCCTGCCTACGGGAAAGGAGAAAGTCAGCATGTGTGGCATGATTGGCTAGCCAGCGGATCAGTGAAATGGTGTATTGTCTGAAGGGACACATGGATCAAGAGAGGTGAGCTTCCCCCTGGCCCCATCATGGTGAAATAGATGCAACATAAAAGTTGCCAGGTGCAATGTCTCACACCTAAAAGCACAGCACTGTGGGAGGCCGAGGTGGGAGGATTGCTTGAAGCCAGGAGTTCCTGACCAGCCTGGGCAACATAGTGAGACTTTGTCTCTACAAAAAATAAATTATCCAGGCATGGTGGCGTGCTCCTAGAGTCCCAGCTACTCGGGAGGTGGAAGGATCTCCTGAACCCAGGTGGTCGAGGCTGTGGTGAACCATAATCTGTGCCACTACACTCCAGCCAAGATGACAGAGTGAGACCCCCAACTCAGAAACAAACAAGCTATAACATAAAGATCTGCCATTTAAACTATTTTAACTGTAGAGTTCAGTGTCATTAAGTGTATTCACATTGCTGTAGCATCATCACCACTGCTTGTCTCCAGAACTTTTTCATCATTCCAAATAGATCTGTACGCACGAAAAAATAAGTGTCCCTAGTTCACTGGTGAGAATAAGCCAACAGAGGAGGTGTAGGACAACACACAGTGATAACATGAACACACCCTGGATATGGCCCCAAGCAGGGGGCTTGGAGCCTGGGGAGGGGTTCCTGGGAGTGGCCAACCTGGGATGTCCCCCTCCCCTCAGGCTTTGGCCTGGGCATGCAGGTCATGCTGAGGCCATGGGCAAAGTATTTTCCGCATCTGCTGACCACATCTTGCAACTGTGTGTAGTGAATGTTCATTTTTACACACTTCCTTGAGGCAGTCAGCCCCCTGGGCAGATTCAGACTGGATTGGGCACATTTAGGTCAATGCCCATAACTTTTGGTTACCTGTAGTTCTCCTTTAGTTCATTACAATACGAAGAATCCCACCCCTAGAGAGAATTCACAGCCGTTTTGTGTACATGCGACATATGTATGAGCACCTTCTCACACTGTCTGCACACTAGGGACCCCCTCCTTTTCTTGCTGAACCCTGCACTCTGCCCTATGTGAAATGCTGCTTAACCTGTGTGCCTTTTACCATCGGGAGTGTTTTTTTTTTCCTGTCCAGCTGGCCATTCCTGGACCACCTTCCCTGTAAGTAAGTTCCCGAATAAAGCCCACGTCGAAGACTGTTGTCTTCGAGTCATTTCTTCAGCCTCTCAGACACAGTGCCTTTTTCTTTGGGGGTTTTTGGGAGTCTGGCATGACAGGACGAAATATTGATGATGCAGGAGAAGAGGGGAATTATAGGATTGACAGAGTAGAAATGAGACAGGCTCTCTTTGGTGCCTTCCATGCATTGGGGTCATTGAAGGGCAGGGAAGGAACAGGGAATTAAAGAGGCTTGTAGGAAGAGAAGGTATGAAATAATTTGATGGAGGGAAAGTGAAGCTTCTGGAGACATACGGCGGGATTCACAGGAGAGTTCTGAGTACCAATTTGAGGCCTGAGTTCATGATCTGGAATTGAAACAAGTCTGCTTGGTGGTGAACATTTTTCTCCACCAATATTTGCCCCCAGGTCTTCCCAGCATCTGGTCTCTGTTTCTTTCTACATCTGTCTTTTCTCCCCTTTCAGATTTCCTTTTCTCTCTTTTGAGCCCTTCATTCCTGGGCCCACCCACAGAATCTTCTCCCTTGCCTGTCTCAGTCTTCTTGAAAGGACTTTTCAGGAACCACCAGATTTTATTTTATTTATTTTATTTTTTTGAGTCAAGGTCTCACTCTTATCCAGGCTGGAGTACAATGGCACTATCACAGCTCTCCACAGCCTCTTGGGTTCAGATGATCCTTCCACCTCAGCATCCCCAAGTAGCTGGGACTACAGGTGCATGCCACATGCCTGGCTAAGTTTTTGCTTTTTTGTAGAGATAAGGTCTTGCTATGTTGTCTAGGCTGATTTTGAACTCCCAGGGGTCAAGTGATCCACCCGCTTTGAATTACAGATGTGAGCCACTGTGCCTGGCCCAGGAATCACCAGATTTAAAGGAATATAACAGTGGTTGGGGTGCTCCCAATTCAGGTTCCAACCCCTCAACCCTTGTCCCTTCTTTGATCTCTTCCCCAGAGAGGTCAGGATCAGCTCTGTTCTGTCTACTCTTTTATCCCTAATGTTAAGTATGGTGTCTCGGACAGTAGGGTACTTGATTAATATTTGTCAAATAGATGAGTTAAAAGCACACACAGATTACCAGCTCATCCCAAAGGCTCCCTGAAATCCAGCTGCTCTCCCACCTCTGTCTGTGCTCATGAAGGAGTTCTTGTTGTAAGAATGACTATAAGACTATACCTGGCTGAAACCCGCAAAGGTGGCACACACATTAGGGTATGAAGAGCTGGATTCAAGTGTAATCCCAACACTTTGGGAGACTGAGGCGAGAGGATTGCCTGAGCTCGAGACCAGCCTGGGTAACTTGGTGAGACCTTGTCTCTACAATAAATCAAAAAATTAGCTGGGTGGGGTGGCGTGTACCTGTAGTTCCAGCTACTCAGAAGGCTGAAGTGGAAGGATCACCTGAGCCTAGCAGGTTGAGGCTGTGGTAGCCATGATGGTGCCGCTGAGCCATAATTGTGCCACAGTAGCCATGATTATGACACTGCACTCCAGCCTTGGCAACAAAGTGAGACTTTGACTCAAAAAAAAAAAAAAAGTCAGACTCGAGACGCTGGTGCTGAAGCTGATGGCTGTGCACTGCAGATGAGGGCATCTCTCTCTGCTTCAACTTCCCCATCTCTCAAGAGGGGATCATAGTTTCTGTTTCACAGGACACTTTTTTTCCCCCCAAGAGTATCTATCATAATTAAATACAAATACCATAATTTGTTTACGATGCTCTAAAAAATAAACGTTTTTTCTCCCCCCACCCCCCCAAAAATAAACCTTTAATTTTAGATTTACAAAAAAATTCTGAAGATAGAATCTAGAACAATTCCTCATACCTCATACCCAATTTCTCCTGTTGTGAACATCTTATATTAGCATGGCACACACATTTTCTACAATGAATGAACCAATATTGATATAATTAAGTAAACCCTACACTTTATTCAGATCTCCTTATTTTGCAACTAATGTCCTTTTTGTGTTATAGGATCCTATCCAGAATACCATATTATATTTAGTTGTCATAGTTCTTTTCTTTTTTTTTTTTTTTTT